CGCCCGGTAGCCGCGGAGCAGGCGGAGAATTTATGAATGGAGAGCTCGGCGCGCGGGGGAGGCAGGCGCGAGAGGGGGTCACACACGTGACCGAGCTGGCGGCCAGCCCGCTCCGACCCGCTCGGTGCCGCCCGGTGCTGCCGGGTCCCCGGCCGGCCGCCCCCACCTCGCTCGCCGCCGCTTCTCGCTTGCTCCGCGCCGGCCACCGCCTCCCCGTCCCTTCCGGCGGGGGCGGGGGGCGGAGCCTGTGCTCCTGGGCGCCCCCTCCCCACGCGAAGCCGCCCTCTCCCGAGGCAGCTGAATCTCCGCCCCCGGCCCCTGCGGCACGATTCACCGACCTTCCCTGGATCCCCGGGGACGGGGGACCAAAGGGGTGTTAGTCCCAGGGCGCACGACTCCCCGCAGCCTGGAGTCCGGGGGTGCCCAGACTCCCTATCCATCGCTTCCCCGGTTTGGGAGTCTCCGGGGTGCACAGCCTAGGGGCTCCAGGGCACATGTCCCACTTTTCTTCCCCTACGTGGGCAGCACTGTCAGGGTTGTCTTGTTAGGATGAGCAGCAAAGATAATGGAACACAACGCATTCTGAGTGCCACCAGGGCTTGCCCGGGGTGGGGTGACAACAGGACTACCCCTGCAGAAACCCCATGCCTGGTCAACCCCAAGCTGCTCTTTCTCAGACAGTTGTGCCTCATCTTTCTAGATGCTCAGGCCACCAATCTGCCACCAGCCTGGTCGGGGTCCCATCCCAGGCTGCCTGGCCTTGTGTTCAGCACAGCACAATGGCACCCCTTTCTCCTCCAGTGAAAGAGGAAGGCCCAGTCCAACCCCAGGGCCTTTGCACGTGCAGGTGCCAGGCCCGGACAGCTTGTCCCCTCCGGAGCATCCTTCACCTCTTTCCCAATGACAAAGTCTTCATCTCCTCTTGACTCCCTTTGCTAACAAAGCAACTCCCACCCCACATTCCGGACCTCTGCTGTGCTTTGCTTCTCTCCGAGGCCCTGCAGGTCGTTGCCTGTTACTTGTTCCTCTGCGTTGTGTCCCTCCTCACCCCTGCCCCCACTGCGGTGACCTCCAAAAGCAGTTCATTTACTGCTGGGTCCGAGAGCAGAGCATAGCACAGGAGCGGCACCCTGGAGAGAAGGTGTGTGTCCAGTGGATGAAAGGGTGACACTGCCCAAGGAGGGCAAGGGGCAGTCAAGTGGGCAATTACCCGGGAAGGCTGGCTCCAGGCGTGTGGGAACTGCATGGGCAAAGTCCCTGAGGTCCCCAAGTGTGTGGGCTGAAGGTGAATGTGTTGGAGGACAAGGGGGATGGCAGTTTGTGTTCCCAGCAGAGGAATGATGTGGTCCCTCTGGCTGTTTGTGGAGAAGGTGCCGTGATGAAGCTAGGGGAGGAGCCTGGGGCCATCCAAGTCACTAAAGGTAGCTGCAGGGGCCGAGCTGGGTGGCTTGTCAATGGGTACACCAGAGAATTCCAGGATAAACCCGGGTTGGGGACCTGAGTAACAGGTGATGCCCCGACCCCTTGGCTACCCTGGAGTGGGGATTAGAGACAAGTCCAATAGATGGGTCTGAGAAGCATATGAGAATAGGCCTCCATTCCAGTAGGATCCAGGGTTCCGGGACGAGCAAGCCGTGCACAGGACACACCCCTAAGAAATAGGAGCAGAGCTTCCCTCTGCACACACCTGACTAGGGTCAGGATGCCCAGCGCATAAGGACTGATTCCACGAAAACCCCTCACAGCGCTGGCCTAGAGAGGGGGCGGGGGCCTGGGCGCCAGGCCCCGGGCCTCCCTGGTGTGGGAGCCTCTTTCGGCCACAGAACCTGCCCAGCCACGAGCCCAGGTGTGACCCACCCCCACCCCCCGCGCCCTGCACCCGTCCGCTCCTCACCCAAGGCCCTTCCGGATGTGGACCCCAGCCCGGTCTAGCCGGACTCCACGTTTTCCCGGAGCCCAAGGTGGGGGCTGGGGCCCAAACCGGGGTGCCGACCTGCCCGCGCGCGGGGGCGGAGCGGTGACGTCAGCGCCGCGAGCGAGGCTGCGCGGGCCGCGGTGACGTCCGCGGAGCCCAGGGCCGCCCGCGCACGCGCCCCTGCGTCAGCAGCGCGCGGAGGCGGTGGCCGGGAGGGGCTGCGGGGGGCGCATCTCCGGGCGCGGCGCGCCCTCTGCCGGCGCCCTTGGGGGTGCAGCCAAGAGAGTCCTACAACGCTGGACGCTTACGGGAGCTGGACACTCTGCCTGGGATACCGTTCCCGGGACGCCTGCACCTCCTACAGTCACAGCCTGCCCCATCCGGCCCCCATACTCTGCTTTTTCATTTTTAAGTATTTGTCACCTCCTAACATACTGTACAATTTATTACGTAGAGTGTCTGTTAAACGCCCCCACCACCCCAAACTAGAGCAGGAATCTTAATATTTCCCTGATGTCTCCCCAGCGCCTGACATCCAATGAGCGCCCCCAAAATCTTGAATTAAGTGTGTCTTTCTCCGCGCGGGCTTCTGGTCCTCCCCGTGCAGAGCCGTGTAACCGACCCCCGCACCTGACCACCGGGCTGGGAGCTCTTGCCGGAAGGAAACTACAACCCCCAGCATGCCGCGCGTCCAGGCGCTTCTCCGTCTTCAACATCGCGCGCAGCGCGCCGGGAGTCGTAGTTCGCGCCTGCGCCCTCGTCGGGTTCTTCTCCCAGAAGTCCTCGAGCGTCGTCTGCCTCGACCTCCAGGCCGCTGGCGTCCAGCCGGAGTCCACCCGCCCCTGCTCTGCTGTCCGCCGTCCGCCCTCCGTCATGCTGCCCGCTGCGCTCCTCCGCCGCCCAGGCCTGGGCCGCCTCGTGCGCCAGGCCCGCGCCTACGCCGAGGCCGCCGCCGCCCCGGTCCCCGCCGCGGGCCCGGGACAGATGTCTTTCACCTTCGCCTCACCCACGCAGGTTCGGACGTCCGCCGGGCTCGAGACCCCATTCTGGACCCCGCGCCCGCGCCCCGCCCCCGTGTGGCCCAGGATCCGAGCCCCCAACCCTCAGGTCGGCGACGCCCATTCCCGTCCCGCGCCCTTCCCCCGTGTGGTCCGGGATCAGACCGCCCAAATTTCAGGTCGCCCCTCAGCCCCCCATTTCGATGTGCTGCGCCCTTCCTCACGTGGTTCAGAACCTGAGTCCCTGGGCACCTTTCTTGTACGCTCCCTCCCCAGGCGGCTCGCTGGTTCTTCCTTGACCGCGCCTCTTTACCCGAGGGCTAGGGTGCCTGGATTCCATTGTCAAGTAGACGAAGGCGCTGCAGTCCTGCACGAGGACCCCACCGAAGCATCGGCTGCCTCCGTGTCCCCCGTCAGCTTTCAGTCTTGCCTTGGCTGTTTAACTGCGGGGGAGACTGCTGTTCCCCGAGGGACTGGCCTGAAGTGACCCTTTCTTTATGTATCTTGTCTAGGTGTTCTTCAACGGCGTCAACGTTCGACAGGTGGACGTGCCCACGCAGACCGGAGCGTTTGGCATCTTGGCAGCCCACGTACCCACACTGCAGGTCTTGCGACCAGGGCTGGTTGTGATCCACGCTGAGGATGGCACCATCTCCAAATACTTTGGTGAGTTGATTGGGAGGGCAGAGGGAAGGGGCTGGGTGGGAGATGCTTGTCTCAACGGGCTAGTTCTCGTTTCAGTTGGCAGCGTCAGGAAGGGCACCAAGGATATAGAACTCCCCGGCACTGGGCTGGGTGTGGTTAGGGATGTAAGTGGTCAGCAGTGGGCCGGGCGGGGGCCCATCGGAGGAGAAAGGATCCTCAATTCGGAGGAGGTTTTCCACAGCGTGGCCCCAGCGGTACAACCCAGACTGGAAATCAGCTTCGGCTCACTCCTAACCCTGGCTCAACTCCTGGGCTGCTGGGCAAAAGGAGGGGGCTCTGTCCCCATGTCCAATCTGCAGTAGATGCACTTGGTGGCCCCTGTTCACTTGTGTGCTGGGGCCTTTGGATCCTGGAGCCACGCTGTGTGGTCACCCTCCTGGCCCTGCTGGGGCTCTGGGGCTGACTGTGTCCCCACGCCCGTACATGGACCTCTCACTCCCCCTTCTCCTGCAGTGAGCAGTGGCTCGGTCACAGTGAACGCTGACTCTTCGGTGCAGTTACTGGCTGAGGAAGCCGTCACACTGGACATGTTGGATCTGGGGGTGAGTGTCCCAGGGGAAGCTGGTGCTCCGAGCTGCCACGAAATCCCCAACTGCAGGGAGGGAACAGGTACCGGGCTGGGCTCCTTGCTTCGCCCTCACCCGCCACCCACCCCCTGCAGGTGGCCAAGGCGAACCTGGAGAAGGCGCAGTCGGAGCTGTTGGGGGCCACGGACGAGGCCATGAGGGCCGAGATCCAAATCCGCATCGAGGCCAACGAGGCCTTGGTGAAGGCCCTGGAGTAGGCGGTGCATGCCCCACACTGGCTTCGGCAGGGAGACTGGGCCAGAGCTGGGCAGGGGATGGTCTGGCGTGAGGACCCAGCTCCTGTGGGTGCAGGCTGTCTGGAAGGCTGGGGGAGTGAGCCTGGGGGAGCCATCCTCTCTAGGAAGCCACCAGGGGGCAGCGCAGTGCCGGCGTCTGCCCAGAGCGCTTTTCAGGGCTCTGCCTGTCTGTGGTGAATAAACCAGGGAAACAAGCCAGCTCTGGTAGGCTTGGGGGCTGGCGTCAAGGTCGGGCACTTGCCCTACCCGTGGGGATTACTCTCACCCCGGGGAGCTCTTCTTCCACCTTCTAAGATCTCCCCAACCTGACGTGCTGGCCACCACTCCTCTGCCTCATCTGCCGCAGAGACCTCTGCTCCCAGCCACCGGCAACGGATAGCCTGCTCCCTGCCCGAACCCTCATTAAACACCTGGAATCCAGTTTGCATACGCTGACTTTATCCTGCTTGGTGGTGGGCTTGGGACCCAGCGCGGCCTCTCCCCCAGTGTCCTGTGTCTGCGCAGCGAGGTGGGGCAGCCAGCCTCAGCCTTCCCAGCTCAGCAGGCTGTAGCCTGAAC